GCCGTCACCGCCACCGCCGCCCGGCCCCGCACCGCGCCTGCGCCACGGGCACGGCGCGAGCCCGTGCCCGGCCGCCGGGAGCGCTGGGAGCTGTAGTCCTGCTGCGATTCCGCCGCAGTCCTGCCGCCGCTGGGAGCTGTAGTCCCGCCGCCGGCGCGGGTTTAAAGGTCCGGCGGGGCGCTCCCCCTGCCCTGCCCATGTCTCTCCTCGCCGCCGCCGTCGCGCAGTCGCTGCCCGGCTCCGCGCGCGGGGCAGGTACGGGAGCACGGCGGGGTGGCCGAGCGGGGTCTGCGGGGGGAAGGTCCGCGTCCGGCGGCTGCCGCCCCTCCTGCCGCCCCCCGCCGCCGGCCGGGACCGCTCACGGGGGGAGGGAGGGAGGGAAGGGAGGAGGGAGAGGCTGGGCCGCCTGCTCTGCCCCCTCCCCGCTCCCGCAGGGCCCCCTCGGGCAGGGGCAGCTCCCGTTCCCGAACAGGTGCAGGCGCCCCCGCCCCTGCCCGGCCGCCGGGCCCTGACGTGCCCTCAGCGCGGAGGGACCGGCCGGGGCCAGCCCCGAGCCGGCTGCCCAGGAGGGCGGCGGCTGGAACGGCGGAAGGGACATTAATCCGTTCCAGTGGTGGTGGTGTCGATGACAAGGACAAGCGCCCTTGTAAGTGGCACTTGGTGCTCGATGGAGGCCGGGTGACCATTGGCATTTCTGTGCAAGCGGGGTGAGGCATGGCACGGCCGGTGGTAATGGCAAAGCTCTCTTATGTTGGTGTGCTTCCAAATGGGAAAAAAAACCCCACCCTTCTAAGGTGCTTTTAGAATTTGTTGTGTGTTCAGAAGTCAACTTAGAGCATCACAGTCGGAAAAACTGGAAATTTAGAAGCTGAAGAGCCTTTATAGAGCAAAGAGGTGGATAGTATCTGGAAAGAAGTTGCCTTTCCAATTATCTCCACCGTGGGTGTTTGTCTCCTGCCTTCGTGTCATGCTCCTGAAGCAAAGGCAATAGCCTGTTTTTCAGAGGCTGTTGTGACTTGACAGATTCTTGGAAAGATTAGTTAGTAAAAATCAACTTGTATTTTTTTCTTCAGGTTATATTTTTAAAGAATAGTGCTTATTTGCTATATGAAACTAGTTCCTGTACCTTGTGTCAATTACACTGCAGTTGCTGTTCAAGGCTGCAATTTACAGGGCCAAGCCAGGGTGCAGCTGTGCTGCTGCATCAACCTAGAGCTGTTCTTGGCCGAGATCAAGCTTGCATGTGCATGACAACAGACATCAGGTGGCATAGGAAGGCAAGTTTAGGGAATATACCAGATTCTTTGACTGTGCTGCCTTACCTAGGGACAAATCAGTCTGGTTTTGAGAGTCCTTGGGGAGAGAAAAGTGTTGTCGAAATGGGTGTGAAACACCCGGACTTGAACTTGTAAGCAGTATTATGTGCATAATAGTGAGGGTGTTGTTTATTTTTTAACTGCTACAAATATCATAAAGAGGAATGCTGAATTATTTACAGAGATGTAAATGTTCCTTACAGGAGGTATAGAAACACATAGGAAGAAGGCATTGACACCCTCTCCCAGAAAATTTATTTTGTTCTTATTCTTGGGCCCATAAAATTCAGTGTTGCTACCACTGCTGAAGAGTGTTGGATGCACAGTGGCCTGAGTAAACCACATAGGCATGACCTCCTGGAAGAGATCCTAACACACACTGTCCCAGTTACAGCTGTCTGTGGCATGTAAGAACACTATTGGATATCAAGAGTTTCTGGTTCCTATTCCTGGTCTGGACTAAGCTCATTGCCTGTTGGCCAGAGCATTGAGCAGCTACGCTAGCCTAGCTTAGGTTTTTTATGTTCATTCTCAAGAGTTACAAATGGAAAGAGGGAAGCTGATTTTATTTCTAGGAGAATGTGGTTTGTGCAGTTTCTGTATTTTTGCTTTGGTGTTGAAAGGATATGCTGGTTGTCGGCCATTTATGATAAAGGTCATAGTGGCTAATAATAGCTGTGAAGAATATTTACCTGGAGAAATGGAACTAGAACCCAGGATCACTTGGCTACCTACCATTTGAGGCTACAGAACTATCTGTAGCAAAGGTGGCTAATTTGCTCTACCACTGGCAAAGGAAGGAGGAAGGTATGACAAGACTGGAATGGACAAAACGTGAATATGAGGTCAAATAGTGAACACTTGGTAGGTTTGGACTTTTTAAAATTTAATATTTTTCCAAACATGAGAAATAAAAACATAATAGGATACATAAAAGCATAATTGGACAAGCTTTAGTGGTTTCAAACTAAAAGACAGTAGATTTAGATTGACCATAAGGAACACATCCTTTACTGCGAGGGTGGTAAAGCACTGGCACAGGTTGTCCAGAGGGAGGGTGGATCCCTTCTCCCTGGAAACGTTTAAGGTCAGGTTAAGCAACCTGATCTAGTTGAAGACATCCCTCGTTGTAGGGAGGTTGGACTACAGGAGCTTTAAAGGTCCCTTACAACCCAAAGCGTTCTATAATGGCAGACCCCTTGACATCCCATAGATAGCTTAAAGATTCTGAAATCCAAAAACCGATTTTTGGAAACAGTTGGACAGCTTAGGGTGTATGTTCTTTTTCTGCTCTTTCCAGAATCAAAGTGTGATCCTAAAATACATAGATAACCAACTGGTTTTAAATTTGTCAAAAACCACATCCTTACTCTAGACAGACCAAGAATTGTCATTTTATCCTTTTCTATTCTCCTTAAACAAGACTGGATTTGCAGCTGCTCTGTTCAAATGCTTGCTTTGTTCTCCCTACAATCTCCTCCTTCACTCTCCCTCATCCCCCTTTTCTCTTAATTTTCTTTCCGCTTTTTGTTCTTTTTGCTTCCTTCTTTGCATTGGCAATTTCCACTATAAATCTCAGATTGCCTCTTGCATTTTGTTTTCATTTTTAAACTATTGCTTCCTATATCATCCCTTAATAGATCCTTCTTTGTTTCTTCCTTCCATTTCTCTGATGTCCGCTGCACTGTGCCTCACTCTGTCATCTCTTACCTGCACCTGGCAGTGAGAGGCTGCATGTGAGCCGAGAGAACTCTCCTGGGAGCAGGCTCTGTTTGGCCAGTGCAGAGTGAGGGAGAGTGGCTGCTCTTCCTGGAGCTTTGCCAGGGCTCAGCTCCCAGACACTGACTGGAGGTAGCAGCCATTTTAAGTAAATTAAGTAAAACTGCGCAGTTGAAGGCAAGTGCAGAACATAATGAAAATCACCAAATATAAGCTATTTAGGGCTTAAAATGGAGCCCTAAAATTGGCTATTTGATTTGCTACAAAATATCAACTTTTACAAATAAGAAATGGTTTGATAAAAAAAATTTATACAGATTTAAGCTTAATAAAGAAGTTGACAAGCAACTGCTGAAAGAATGACATGGAGGTAGATTAAATATATATGTATATGTTACTGTTTCAGTGAGGCCTGGAAAAGAGGACAAATACAGAAGGAGCTGTACCTTAATATGGTTCTTCTTATGTGGCAATATTAAAACTGTGTAAATTGTTCACTGTTTACAACAAAGCTAACTAATCTGGCAATATAGGAATATTCTATTTTGGCAAATCTAAATATTAACTGCTATGATAGCAACGTGTATAATTGAATTGCAAGATCAGTTAAGCATTTTTCATCTGCTTGGTTCTGTTTGGTAAAAGGTAAGTAGCCCTCAATTAGTCAAAAGTGAAACTAATCTGAGTCAAAAAACATGTTTCTACAATAAAACTTGGGTTTTTTCAGTACTGTAACACTTCATTTTAACCTTCAAGCTAGTTGGAATAGTCGCTTTCTGTCAAAAAGACTAGCATGGTTTGTTAGTCACAGGAGGCTTAAAGAGGCTTAAATTGCTTCATAATGAATTGCTTAAAATAAAAATACACCTTATACAATGTTAATTGAATTAGCTTGGCTTATTTTGGGCCTTTCTTACATTTGTTTCTTTGGAACTGGCCCAGGTCAAGTAATTCATATACCAGATTGCATTAAGCTCTTGTGTTCTGATTCAGCTGTCGTTACTATCTTTTAACTTCCAGTTATGAGGGAGTTGGTTGCTAGAAACAAAAAAAAAATTGTTTTGTTCTAGTGGCTATTTGATCAAAAACTGTCTTTATATCTTGATTTCCTTTGGTTCTGGAGTGCTTTTCCTTATCCTAATGATTGATCTATCAAGTGAAACTGTCTCCTGGGAAGAACTGACAGAAACAGTGCAGTCCCTTGCATGTGAATCCTCAAATCATCTGAAAAGCAGTAACCCACAAGTAAATAGGGGCACAGAATGCCTGAAGCCAGCCCTGTGAGAGGCGGATAGTTCATAAAATTAAGTATTTTACTATTGCTGTAAGAAAACAGTTTTGCTGCCTTTAATGATTCAGAGCAGCACAAACAGGTTAGAGCAAGTGTTGAGAAACTCTTAATTACAGAGTTGATTTAGGGCAGGCAGACCATACAGTCCAACATAAACAGAGTGCAGAAAGCAGAGACGTAAGTGTTAGAACAACTCACTTTCAACTGCCCTAATTTATCTTTCTCAGCTTTAGTCATCTCTCTTTTATGCACAAAGCTATGCATATTTCATCCTTGGAAAATCAGTCTGCACTTTTATTAAACACTGTTGTTTTCACACTTCTGATTTCAACGATGTATTTCCTTATAAGCATTACTATTTGGTGTGAATAATTAGTATTATGAATTACCCAGAATAAATATGCAGAATAATTAATGGACTAGTGCAAAACAGAGCACCAAGTGCCAGTGAATGAAATTCTGAAAATTTTACCTGACCTACATTAATGACCACTGTATTAGTGTCTTATGAGAGGAACTCCTGTCAGGCTGTGTATTGATGTGGAGGCTGGAGATATGGAAATGGTGGGTAGTGAAAGGGAGGGAGGTAAAGTGTGGCATCACCATGTACATGTTAAATAACATTCACACCTTGATTTTCTTCTGAGCAGCTTTTCAGCTTTTTTTTTTTTGCCTTTTTTTTTTTTTGGTGGAATTTTCAGTGTAGTAACAACTTGGTAATAAAAAAAAAGTTGTAACTTGAAAATTGGAAACTATTCAAATAGTACAACTTTTCACCTATGTACTGATTTTGATTTCTTTTTAAATTTTCATACTTGACCTATTTGTGTTTGAGCTTCAGAATATATTTAGAAATTATGTTATGACACATGATTATTTAATATATTCTTCAGCTAAGCAACGTGGCACGATTTCCTTTGTAATAGCTGTAAACTTTATAGCTGGTATGAGCTTATAATTAATTTCTTATGCTAGGACTTTGTAAGGGAACTGTGGAAATACTGGAACTATTTCTTTGTCTAGCAGTTGTTCTAAATAGATGGCTATTTCATCTGGGCTTCTAAATCAAACTATTTAAAAGCTCCTATTTAGTTAGTCACTTCCAGCTCAGTCTGACAGATATTCCCTCAGAGCTGATGATTCAGATTGCAGCAGTTTTCCCTGGGAAGAGGGAGTGTGCACATATTTCTTTTCCCTTTCGAGCTCTCTTCCTTTCGGAAGCAGCAGTGAAATGCTGTCCATCGGTAAGACTTCAAACCCCATGATTCCTTGGGAGAGCATGCGCTGAAAGCTTCCAGTTGTCAAAGTGCTCTTGCCAGGCTGGTCGACTATTTGACATATACCAAACCTGAAAGAAGAAAATAAATATACTGTCCTTTTGTTGATCTTTAAATACAGAAAATCCAAAGGTAACTGTTCCTTAAACATTTCTGTGTTGGCTGTGTGGGTTTCTGCATGCAACTGGATCTGGTATTGCTATGGGGATATAGATTTCCTGTAATGGATTGTAAATTTGTCCAAATACTTACACCCAATAATCAAGAGCACTGCATACTAGTCCCACATGAGACACTGGCTGGTCTGTCTTTCAAAGTCATTTATTAACCAGTATTTTTTCATTTGGACTGGCTTCATTCATTAAAGGAAGGTCTTGACCTTGACAAGAGGGTTAAATGGTGCAGTGATTTTTCCTTTAAGAAGCAAGATGGAAGGGAATATGAATCACAGTCCTTAGGATAAAGTTCAAAACCAGCTAGCTAAGTCAAGGTACATATTTGAAGCAACTGCTGTACTAGCCACTATAGATAACCTGGTGACTAATTAATTTAAATATAACTTTATTGACGACAGAATTTTAACATTTCAGCTGCTATGTTTTTCTCTCTAAATGTATTTTTATACTGATAGGTCACACCCAGGGGAGAGGGATACACATAATCCTTTTCTCCCTCTGATGTGGAGTCATCAGTTTTATGTAGCCTTAGGAGTAATAGTGATGTGGGTAGAAGTGAAGCTAATGGAAAGTTACGCAGACAGAGTTTGGTATATTGTGGTTTACTGCAGTATTGCTTTAAAATGCCTTGCAAGGATTGCTGCACTCCCAGCAGCAGCAGCAGTGCTGCCTGGAACAGATGCAGTGGTTTACCCCGTCCTTAGGAGCTTAATGTTGTCTCACAGCATGGTCTGCTCAGGCAGCCTTGCTGCTCGCTTTACATATTGAACAGGTAAATCAGGGGGAGCATAAGCAGTAACTTACCAGATACCAGAAACCTCTCCTGGAATTCATTTTAACTAAAATGTGTGTGCATGCCTCAGAAGATATTTAAAGGAAAGAGCAAAAAATGTAAGATAGACCTGGACCATTTGAAGTCAGAAAGGACAGTTTCATGCTTTGCCACCTTTCTTAAACAGTTAATTGATTTGGCTTTACATTGTTACATTACAAAAACAATCCTAAAAAAATGCAGTCTTAGGCATGGAAATGTCATATGGTTTTTGCTATTGAGTAATAGCAATGCATTTAGGTGATGTGATGGCCATCTTTAGCATAGTTAATTAAAGCAAGTGATTTGAGGCTCGTTAAAAATACTTTTGAGATTTAGAATTATCTCCTCAGTTGTCTAAAAGCCTGCAAAATCTGGAGGCTCGCTCCTGTTGTGATTTCATGTAGTGGCTGTTCATTGATGTCTGTATTGTATTATTACCATTGGGTCTCATAATCATGATAAAATTATATGATCTGCCCTGTTTCATATGGAACACCTTTTCTAGCAGATATAAGTCTCATCCATTTCACATACGTTTCCATTCTGCAGTTTAAACTTCTGTATTGATTTAGCAAATAATTTGCATCACTAGTCTTTGTCTTGTGTATATAAATGTGATTTTCAACATGCAGCATGTCTATATTGTAGCTATTTCGATTTTCCCTGGTTTTATATTTCATTTGAAAGCATTAGAAAGATCATAGTCTAATAATACCTCTCCGGTCTGCTGATTTTGACCTTACGGTTTTCTAGTGGAGAAATCACCGACGATTTCATATGTACGTGTATAAATAGAGCGGGTACGTATAAAAATAGAGCGAGTAGATAGCTATACCTTCAAGTAAAGGACCGCTTTGATGTAAAATAGCGTTTTACGCGGAGAGATCGTAAGGTCACCGAAGGCAAATCTGACACCCATCGGCGGCTTTGTACGCGGAGTGTCTCCGCCCCCCGGCCCCCCTTGCCGGCCGTGCCGTCGCCCGGCTGCCCGGAGCCGGCGCGGGGAGCGGGCAGGAAGCGATTGTGCAGCCGGGAGCCGCTCCCGTACCGCCCGCGTCCCTGCGCGCTGTGCCTCTGATAAACCTCAATCACTGCAAGCTCGCTTGTTAATTAAGGAAAATCGGGACCCGGCTCCTTTAAAGGTCCCCTAATAGAAAAGGGGGTGGAGAAGAGCGAAGACTGGTGTCTTTTTAACCTTGCTGAAGGACGCAGCAGTATTTATTGACGTATGCAAATAACCAGGGGGAGGAGGTGGAGGAGGAGGGTGCTTGGAAAAACAGGAACCAGAATCAGTTTCTCATTGCAGGGTGAGAGCTCTGAGTTCCGGTGTAAGAGAAAAGAGACGTGGCGAAATTGCTGTATATCTCTGCCCTATAAGCACATCTCTCATTTAGACTGAAGGGAAACAAGGCATCAAAAAGGGTGAAGCATCTTAAAAAATATTTTAAGGGCAATCTAGCACGATCAAAGGTTACATATTCCTAAATGGGGGAGGGGGAAGATTACGGGTTTGCCTTGCAATATGCTGTAGCATAGTACTAGCAATAGGACGAGATTTTTGGCAGGCAAATGATTAAAACAGACTGGCTTGCGGTATGAATGACAATGTTAATAATCTGTCTTTGTGGTTTTTTCCCCTACTGTTTCAGCTGCGCAAACCATGCAGGATGATTTACTGATGGACAAAAGCAAAGCCCAGCCCCAGCAGCAGCGGCAGCAGCAGCAGCAGCAAGATCCAAACTCAGCAGAAGCCCCCTCTACACCCATCTCGTCGGAAACACCCAAACCAGAAGACAACAGTTCAGTGACTAGTATCGGCACATCGGCTCCTTCCCAAAATAGCAAGGAGAAGATGCAGATGGAGTCTCCCATTTTGCCTGGCTTGAGCTTTCACCAGCCTCAACAAGAACCTGCAGCCGGCACCTCCTTGTCTCCCTCGTTTGGCAGCACCTGGTCTACAGGGACCACAAACACGGTGGATGATAGCTTTTTCCAAGGGATTACTCCAGTCAATGGGACAATGCTTTTCCAGAATTTTCCACACCATGTCAACCCTGTATTTGGTGGCACTTTCTCACCTCAGATTGGCCTAGCTCAGACTCAGCACCACCAACATCAGCAGCAGCAGCAGCAAGCTCAGCAGCAGCAGCAGCAGCGGAGGTCACCTGTGAGTCCTAACCAGGCACCTTTCGCCCAGAGAAATGCTGCTTACAGCCATCAGCCCATCATGACCAGCAAACCGTCTTCCTCCTCTGCCTCTTCTTCTTCCTCCTCCAGCTGGAATAACCATCAAAATGCGGCTTGGAGTACACCTTCCAACCCTTGGGGTGGGCTGCAGGCTGGTAGGGACCCTCGAAGGGCAGTTGGAGTGGGGGTTGGCGTGGGAGTGGGAGTCGGCGTGCCCTCCCCCCTCAATCCCATTTCACCCCTTAAAAAACCCTTCTCCAGCAATGTCATTGCCCCTCCGAAGTTCCCACGGGCTGCACCCTTAACCCCCAAATCCTGGATGGAAGACAACGCGTTCAGGACGGACAATGGCAACAATCTGTTGCCTTTTCAGGTAAATGACTACACACACCTTCTGCATGATGACAGCTATCACAAATTTCTATTTTTTGTAAGGCTACGTTTCATGTTACTGTTCTGTCTGGGTGACATCTCCATAACTCATGTTTTCACCAAATAGTCACCTTACGTGAAAGAAGTGGGGTTGAACCTAGGGAGTGCATACACAAAGATTTACAATTCTAGCTTAAGGTTTAAAATCTTATTTTTCGTGTAACTTATTGTTAAATGTGGTGTATGTGGGTTTTTTTTTGTTGCTGTTTTTTGATCTTTTTTTAGCATCTGAAAGGTAGTAGCCTTCATGAAAAACAGGTTCGGCAGACTACGTTCCCTTGGTGCTGTGTTAGAATTTTTTTTCCTATTCTCCCATATGTGAGAAAGCTGACATGTTTAAATTGCTGGTTCAGTTTTCTAACTGGGCTGTTAATTTTAACCAAAGCTGCTTCTTGACCTGAAATTCAGTTAATTATTTTATCACCATTGCAATAACTAATTGTCCTTATGTTGTGGTGGGATTTAACAGGGAGTCTGCTCACATAAGGCATCCATATGAAAAGCTGTGTACATTTAATACGTACACCCTGCTGTTATATTCACAGTGGACGTTTTGAATACATCTCGAAGCAGCGTGGGTGTGTATGGAAAGAGTGGCGTATCTGTCCTTTCCAGTAAGGAAATGCCTAATACAATTGACAGGATTTAGAAATGGCAGGAAAGTATTGTATAAAATAAACCATTTTATGCTGCTCAGAATATTTGCAGAGAAAAGAGACAATAGGACACGACCTTCAGAGCCATATTGCAATGGAGTCTATTTACTAGCTACATAGCTCTGAAATATTTAAAGCTGCAGTGCCCTTCACTGTTTTTTTAAAATCTATGACGACAAAGCAGATCAATTGCAGCTGAAACTGGGCCAAATGGAAGATTTGCAATTTTAATGCAGAATGAAACCTGTCATGGTGTGAAATCCATTTTAAGTTGAAAAAAAGCAGAGCTTGCACTTGCAGTTATATCTATACTAGGTGAAATGAATCTCAGACCTTTTCTAGGTTAGCTCTTTTGGTGTCAGTCAGGTCAAAATTTTCTGCTTTGAAATACAGTTAAATCAAGCATATATGCATGCTCTTTAGGTAGTTGTTTTCTCAAGAAAGTATGACTTCTCAAACATCTTTAACTTAGCAGTTTGGTAAGAATAGCATTTAGATTGACACTTAGTTTTCAAAACAGAGTAAAAAAAGAAATCAAACAAATGCATCCCCACCCTCATTATTTTAGGAGACTGTGGAAGTAAAATATATGCACTTTCCAGTCCTATTCAAAGAGGACATCTTATAGTCAGCCCTGAAATTTCATTTTGCTGCTTCATTCTCTTTAAAGGGAGAGTTGCAATTTTTTTATTGGCTGCCCTAAATGAAGGTGGAGTGGCTTCTGGTGAGCTGCTGGTTAATGTCTCTGGAGCACTGAAGGCTGGAGGAAGATTACACTTTAGACACAATTTGCATGCTGTAAATACTATGTTGCACAGAGCACAGCACCATAAAAGCTAATAGCTCCCAGTCATTTTTTAGGCATGGGAAATGTGTTTCAATTTACAAGTGTTCTGAATTGTCTACATGTAAGACATTACAAATCTTGGTATATTTCAATTAGTAGTGAAAACAACAGTAAATGGTCTTATTTCTGTGGTTTGGTTAGTGAGATACATCTTTAATGAATACAGAACTTTATTATTGTGAGTGTAAATTGTCACAAATTAAACTGGCAGATATTTACTCATCACAAGGAAAAATATAGCTAACTGCTTTTAAATAAAAGTTCTTTTGATTTTGAAATTAAGGTTTAAAAAAACCTGAAGTATTAGCCAATATGTAAATTGGAAATTTGTTTTCTTCTCTGTGGATTTAACCTGGTATTTTCATGCAGCAAATGCGTAGGCTATTCTCAGCACCAGCTGGTATAACAGTCTGATTTCAAAGAACACTTTGAAATCAGAACACTTGTATTTTTTTTTCCTATTAGGCTTCTCTTTTTTAAAATACAAGCTGCTGAATTTTGCTTATTAAAAATTATCTGGGTTACTGTTGATTACTGCTATACTTTACAAAATGCCAAAGACATCTTGAAACCATTGGTAGGAGACAACTGTTTAGTGGCACTGATAAAGATGAAATTCAAATTAGTCTAAGAGTTTAATATTTGCTGCCAAGGTTCTGGTTGTCTTTTTTCTTCTTCCCGCCACCCCTAAATTGGGCAATATGTTGACACAGTAAGTTCTGCTTGTCAGCACTATCAAGTAGTTCTGGCAGGTTTATCCGTTTACATCTGCCACCCTCCATAACTGTGTGGTTTTGAGCAACTTTAGAAATACCTTCCAGTAAACTTCCTAGCAACACACTTATGCACATTAGCAAGTTCTTTGTGTTAACCTGTTATTTTATGTTGGGATTATTAGGCTTTCTAAGAAAGAAGAAAACTGTTAATATGTTCACTGTTTGAAATAACATCAGGGAGAGCTGTTTTGTAGTTCAGGTCTTTGCAGTGATCATAAATTTTGATCAGAAAAGATCTGTAACTGAGATTTGTGTTCTGAGTATAATATTTGAAAATAGTTGATACTCAGCTATTGATGTATCTTGCTGTAGGAAAAAATGTTCAATTAAAAAATATTTCTCTTAAAACATGTATATAAAGCAATATACTACATTTTTTCATCCCTTAATTTGAGTAATTCTTTAGTGCATCTTGTATGTCAAAACCAGTTGGTGTCTGTCCCAAGGAGCTGTGCTGCAAACATATCAGGAGATTTAAATTACAACTTGGTAGGAACTCTGCTGGTGTTTGCCTTGTGATTGGTGTGGAAAGGCCACTAAAAATGATTTGAGGGAGACTACATTCATGCACTTAGTGGAAAAATCAATTGCACTGTATATATTTAAAAAATGGAGATACAAAGCTGATAGTTGAAAGGAAAAAGAGAAGTGATCAGTCTGGAATGAAATGTAATGTAGCAAGTAAGAGCTGGAGATGAGATCATGGGAACAGGTGTGGAACTAGGCCAGAGAGGAAATACAAAAACATGGCCAGTTTGTTCTTCTGAATATTTTTTGGCTTCTGAGTGGTTCAGGTGCAGGGTCTCTGACTATCATGTGGCAAGCAGTCCTGTTATGTTAGGTGATCCTCAGCTCTGGCATTTGAGGCTGGCATTCACTGATTGTCCCCGGGACGCCGTTCTCCCGGCAGTGGCTCAGTTCCATTTTCCAACTGAGTGGTGGGGCTTGTACAGAACTGTTGTCATCTCCTGCTTCTGAGCTTCTCTTTCCCTTCACATGTTTCAGGTAAATGGTGTATTTATTTGGCTTTTGGCCGTGTGAAGATATTGGGACACAGCTTGTGGGGTTA